TTTTTTTTTTGGTTCCTTTGTTTTTGAGGGGGGGGCCCTAAGAAAGACACATCGACTAGGGGACGCTAAAATGGTCGGTTTTTCCCTTTGTGGGTTCCCGAAAACACGACGGCCGTGTGCCCTGTACATCTTGTTTCCAGGAACGGAACGGGTGTCCTTTTGTTTGAAGGGGAGGTCCAGAGGAAGCAGGAAACATATATCTTCGCGCGGGAAGTCAGAAAAGTCGACCATTTTACCGGGTTTTGTGGTTGGATGTGGTTGGTGCACTTGCAACATTCAGGATTACTGTGGTTAGTGGCCACTACAGGGGTTGCAAAGGACTTTCGGAGGTGTCACACGGGGTGTTTGGGCCCTGAAAAAATCAGCAACTCATAACCTTCATGCAGATCCCTCAAGACCAAGGTCTTGTGCCGATCGAAACAAAGTCCAATTTGTTCGCAACGCAGTGTCCGCGTCGGGAAGCCATTCTTGGCGACAGCGAGTAGAAGAAGCAATGGCTTCCCATGGTTTCCAAAGTGGCGCAGGATTTCGTCCATCCACAGTATGTGCAACGCTAGATCCACCTGCGATTTATATAAGAGCAAAGCGCCAAAAATATCCACAGTATGAGCCCCAAATTGCGAGGAAACCGGAGAGGGCCAAAAGGTGTCAATCGGGTCACCATTTAAGTGTCCGACTCGCAAAGGGAGCCACGGGATTTGACCCGACTGGTCACCGTAAGTCGCTCAGAGTCACCTTTTTCGGCTGTGGCTATTGCGTCGCGGCTCATTTACCCTCCCACCGATTAACGGACAGGGGTTCCCTTTAAAAGGAAAATGGTCCAAACCAGGACCGAACGTCATCTTCCGCATAGAAAATTGGTGGGAGGGTAAGTGAAGCCCACGACTGGTCGACTGGACAGGACTCCATCGTTTCCTCCGTGGCAGCGCTTGCAGACGTGCCGAAGGTTGCAGTGCAGGCGGGGTCCGGGGTCGGCGGGGGGGGGGGGGGTTCATCCGAGAAGGGTACCCTAAACACAAGACAAATACAGCAAGCACGGAGGATTTCCTTTGGTTCCTCTTGGCAGGCCCAAAAAAGGGTAGCCCAAGATCGAGAAACGAACAAGCTGGCTGATGTTCCCTTCCTGGAAAAGCGGCCCCGTACCTCAAAGGACCGTCCCGCGCGCATCGCGCTTGCGTTTCGCGCGTTTGGCGAGCTCGGTGTCGATCTCTCAGATCTTCGTGCAGCACCTGGGCGAGGGATCGGAGCCGGCTGCGGGGGAGGTGGCGCGGGCCCTGGAAGGCTGGTGATGTGCGACGGTTGCCCCTTTGGGGCGAAAGGAAGCCTAGGCCCCCCAGTAGTGCCCTTTTACCAACTTGTTTGGGGGAGGGTTCCCCTAAAATAAACTACAGGAAAAAGGGTACCCTTATTCTAACCTCTCTACTGAGGACCTAGAAGCATTCTATGGTCGTTTTTGTTTTTTCCTTTCTGGCAGAGCAGCTTGGGCCATCTTGGCCTGGAAAAGTGAGCGCTCTGTTCGCGAGTGTTGTTTTGGAGTTGGTACCCTTTTCAGCTTGCTTTCAACTGGACGCCAAACGGGATCCCACAATTCCTGGAAGTCGGGTCTCCCTATTTTGACACATACCGTTCTGAACATATGGAGCAGAAGTTGCTTCTCTGTTCTTACTCTTGGGACTCAGTGGCTTGCCCTTAAACCATTCGGAGGGAAAGTTTTTCAGGTTTCGTCTCGTGGCCCCCGGGAGAACCTCCGGCATTCAGCGCTCTGATGTGAAAGTCTGATTGTTGGTTCCAATGATTCGCAAACACGGAACATGATCATATTCAATGTTTTCAATGGGTAGATGGCATTGCTATGGAACCGTTAACACGTGATCAAGCCCCAGACTTGCAGGGTTTCTCTTCCCGTTTTGTAAAGGGGGGTCCGCTTAAAATCAACCAGTTGGCCACTGAAGGTCTGGGGAACATGATCATGTCATGCGTGCATAAATAAACATATTCACGTAGCTAGAGCCACTTTCATTGTTTCATGACGTTATGGATTCTACGATCATGTCAGTGTTCATGACCCAATGCTACAATGAATGATTAGGAGGTTGCGAGGTACCCTTGAACCAAAAGTTATGATCAGGGGAGGCTCACATGGCGTCATAACATGCGAGGACCGCTTGCCCTTTCGGAAGCTTCTGTGACCAACTGGGACCTGATGGGTTCTGGTCACAGCCACAAATCCCGAGCAAGTGCAGGCAGCCCCGAGTGAGCTGTATTGGTCGCTCTCTCTTTGGATGTTGGGGAGCGGATTAGCGGGGGACGGTATCGACCATTTATCTGCTCTGATTCTTTGCACCGTTTTGGGGGGTAAACCAGGGATCCCTATAGGTGTTTCTTCTGGTGGATGTGAACATCGCCTTTTAATCTACTGGCTTCCCGCCAGAAGCACATGTTGTTGTTTTCCTTTTTCCATTTCACTAAGAATGTGCGGTCAGCCTCAAATAGAAATGGTTTCATCCCAGTGGTACAAACTTTGGGGCCGGTTGCCGTTGGGCCTCTCTGCCTGAAGGCTTCCACGGTTTCTCAGAAAGCATTCGGCCCCGCAGAAGTCAGGGATGGATTTCTTCTCCCGGACCAGGTCTAAATTGATCATGGTCCCCAGTCGGGTGCCGTGAGAGGGCAAATCCAGGTCACCTCAGTGTCACCCCCCCCCGGGTGGTTTTCTCGATTTTTCCTTCAAACCAACTTTTGACCCCGGACCCTCAGACCCTGTGACGTATGTGAGGTCATGGTGCACGTGATCAATGCCACAGCTGCGGGCAAAACGCCAGATGCGGCTTGGACATTGAAACAAATTTAGGTTTTTGCGGGTTTTGGTTAGGGGACGGAAAGTGGGAAATGGCTCCCCAACACCAAGATGTGGGCAAAAGGTGCCAAGTTCTGGCTCGCTTGCTTTGGGCGTAGAATCTCTTTTGCTTGCTTTTGATTTCCCTTCTCGGATATCCCAAAGGTGATTTTCTCCAATTTTAGTTGACTGCCTGCTAGACTGTAGCAGGTATTGCCCGTGTCTTCCTTGATGCTAAAGCAAACTCGGAGTGGCCAGATCTATCTGGCCATGAGGATCGCTCCTGACTAGTCGATAGAGGATATTTTTCTATGGCTGCGCACCTCGGGCCGAATGTGACAAACATTGGACATGAAGCCGCATTTGTTCGATTCGACATATCAAATGACCTTGCTGCCAGAATTGGCATGCCTTGCATTCCCAACCATGAGGGTGTCTTGTGTTTGGGGTTTTGAGCTTACTTTTGGGTGCTTTAAACCAACAATGGGAGGTGCCATGGCAATGTGGGAGGAAGGGTAATTGAAAGTGATTTCGAGGTGTGGTGGTTTGGAGGTTAGGGGGGGTGCCCCTCCCAACTTTTTAACTACAACCAACCTCAAACCCCACCAACCCCCCTCAACCCCCCAAACCCTACCAACCCCCCTCAACCCCCACCGAGTCACCCCCCTGTTCAAGGGTTACCTGAGAGCTCCACCAAAACTCCTCTCCGGGGCCTTGGCGGGGGGGGGATTCGAGATCTCTTCTTGAAGGTTTCACCGGTTGCATGGCGAGATTCTTGGGCGTGACCCAAGAAGAATCCTTCCGTCAGGTTCCCGCTTCTTGCAGTCTCTGAATGCTGATTTGGGTATGGCCAAAATTCGGCCACAGAAAGCCGCAGGTTTCAGTCCATGTTTCCCTTTTACCAAGGGACCGCAGGTTTTTGGTACTTATTTTCGACCCACGCCCAAATTTCGCCCTGGGCGCCCGAGGCGATCCGATCGGCACTGGAGGCGGATCCTCAGGAGGCGTTGGCCAAGGCTCCGGACCTGGGTCGAAGCGATGGGATTTTCTCCGCCGATGTCGGGCTTGTGGTTGATCACAGTGGGGTTGATCCCGTGATACAAGGGAATCCCCTCTAATTAAAAAATGGGGGTGGGAGGGGGGGGGGCACTTAGGCCAAGCTTTTTGAGTCAGGTAGGCCGTTCTTGGGTTTGGGCCCCTCTGAAAGTGGAAGGGGACCTCCATGTAGATAGAGACTCTATGCCTCGTTTGACTCGGGGTTGATTGAGGGAATCCCCTCTAAAAACAATTGGGGGGGGCGGGGTGGAAGGTCTTTTGGGAAGCCCTTTTTGTTGTAGCACGGTCTTTCCCACAGCCCTGCCCTACTTCATTGGGCTGTGGCTCCCAAAAATGTGCCCAACATGGCAGTGGAAACAACTTAAACCCCCGGTTTGCCCCAGCTTTTTGAATCTTGAGCCACACCCTTGTCATGCGAGCGGTTCCATCGCTTCGGGGCTAGGAGCGAAAGCCATGATAAAGGTCCTTTAGTTGGGGATACTCTATTTGAGCTTTTGGAATAGTAAAGTTTGCAGAACATTGCATAGAAGCACTTGTAAGATTCTTCCATCCTGATCAGCACTCTGCTCCTGGCCTTTGGATCGGGTTTCTGGGGCGGAAGCGCCCCCGAAAGGCTTGGCATTTCGAGGCCCGTCACAAGGCCAACCTCCGAAGCCCAATCGGGACAACACCGACACGCACAGACACGCACAGACACGCACATGGTTGGAGTTGGGAAAACAATTTGCATATTTTTGCTTATGGCGGTTCAGTGGTTGATATCCAAAACCACTGCCAAAATTTTCATTGTTTTGCTCCCCAAACCCAAGGTCGCACATAGACAGAGAGAGTGATGTGTGTGTGTGTATATGTTTTTTTTTTAGCGGCTCGGTTTGCCGCGAAAGCCCAACACCCAACAACTCTCAGTTCCTGGGGTCTGATTGTTTGATGTTGATGTAACATTGCCCCCCGCATTTCCGGCCCCACCTTCTTTGCCTTGGAAAAGCGCCGGCCCCCATTTTCCATTTTTCCGGTCCATCTTGCTTTTTTTTTTTGGCATTTCGAGGTTTCCTGCGTTTCCGCAACACCCAAGTACCCATCACCCTTACCAGGCTATACTTGGGCGTTCGCCAAGTTAGTACGTTGTTGGTACCCCTCCTAAGTGGCGGGCCGGTATATACGCCAAGTGGCCAGCCACAGACACTAGCTTCCTCACTTGGCGGGCCGATAACGTTGTTATTCAAGTGGGGAAAAACCCAGCCACAGACGCGAACTTGGCTGGTGAAGCAGGCGCCCCCTGAAGGGATGCACTTCGAATCCTAAGCTGGTGGAGGCTTTGTCTCAGGGAGACCCACCCCCAAACCTCCCAGGCCCCGCGGCACAGACCCACGGCCCATAGCTGTTGTCTGGTCAGGTGAGCGCCGTCTTGGCCTCTTGGGGCCCCTTTGAGGAGGTTGGCCTTGGGTCCTGCCGCGATGCTTCGGGGCCCCTCGCCTTACGGCCAAGCCGCTTGAGGGGCAGCTTAGGAGCGGCTGACGCATGGAAAACCTCCCAAATTGCTGTGTAGAGGGGTGCAAAAAAGGGTGGTTGGGTGTACCTCGGATTTTCTTTTTTGGTGGGATGTACCTTCCTTTTGGTGGGGTGTACCTTCTTCCTGTGGCTACGAATCATTTTTAAGTTGAAGTCAAAAGGCTTTGTTTGAGGCTTACAGCCGTGTCAGCTTGAAAGGAAGAAGTCCTTTTGTTGGGGTCCAAGTCCCAATTTTGACACATACCCACAGATGGCACGCGCACTTGACTTGCCTGGGCAAGTCCGTTTGGCCACGGGTCGAGCTATGGATCCTGTGTTGAAGTTTAAGGCCAGCCGGACATAAACCCTATACCCAACTTGTCCAGCCATGAAACAGTACTTGGTGGTTCCTGTTTGGTGTGTATGCATTTTGGACCGCCGCTTTTTTCGTGGCCAGCTTTAGGCTTCGGCCACGTACCCAGACCTGGCCGAGTTTTTTTTTTTATCCACCGCCGGCTTTGCGAAGCCTAACTCCCCTTGTGGTTCTTCGGCCAGATGTCTTTCTTCTTCGAGGCTGGTGTCGTCTCCAGGCTTGGGTGGTGAAAAACTGGAGCCATCCGGTTCCGGAGGCCGGTTTCTCGTTTTTTTTTTTTTTTGGTGGGGGCGGGGATGGTGATTTAGGGGTAGTTTGGTTGGCGGCTTTTAGTTTTTATTTTCTTTTTTTAAGTGGCTTCTTGATGGTAGTGTCCATGCAACCCACGAGTTACAGCTTAATTCTAGCAGGGGATCAGTTTGGACCATTCAGTTACGAGAACTGGGCGCCTGGCACCGCTTTGGTGCTTTGGTCCTGAGGAACGAGTATGACGCCTTCAAAGGCGGCCCCGGCACCCTGGAACAATGCGCCTTGGAGAGACGGCCAAAACCGGGCGGAAAAGCAAGGTGGCGCTGGCAATCGAAGTCTATTGGTTTGGGGGTGAGAACTTTGGGCGGATGATCAAAGCTGGTTTCCTGTGTTGGGACTCGGGATCCATTTTCACTGGTCGAGGGGATCCATCTTCCTCGTCCATATGGCCCCAGGATCGATCCCCTCGGGCCGGCAAAAAGATGAAGGCCAACACGACCCCACACGACCTCAACACAAGTCGGGTCTTACCCCAGAACGCGCAAGGGGTTTCTGAGGGTTTCGAAAGCCGCTCTTAGGGAAAGACGCAGGGAAGCAATCAGGTAGCCGACTGCGGATGGAGGAAATCCGTTCGCACCACTTGGAAAGCTTGGCACACCATTGCTGGTTGGTACTTACAGGGGAATCATCCTTCCAGGGTTTCTTAGGTGGTGCAGGATTTCGTCCATCCACAATGGGCTCGCCTTGGAGAGCTTAAATGGGTGTGGCTTGTTCAGGGTTTGATTCCCCATTCTGTTCAACCATCGTTCCTTTCAGAAGCCAACCGTTTTCCCTTGGTTTATGACCTGCAAAGAAGGATCCTTGGAAAAACAGGACATGGACGCTTCCCCTAGAGGTTTCCCGTTTTTGGTTCCTTCATTAAAAAGTGCCATCCCCAAGTAAGGAGTACCTCTCGCTCGCCTCAAAAAAGAACATCGGACATTCGCCGGCTGCAGGTAAGGCTGGGTGCCTCAGCTTCGCCTTCGACCAGTGCCGCGGCTTCACCTTCCAGGAAGGCGTGGGATTGCATCGCCTTGCGCGCCAAACGCGTTTCGTTGGTGTTGGCAGACGGGGAGTCGGTTTTGCTTGTTTGTTTCTCCTTTTTTCCGCCTAACATACGCGTCTGCAGTGTTCGTTTGGCGAAGCCAACCTCAAGAAGGGTATCAAAATCGACAGGCCCGTGGCCTTAGGTTAGTTTGGGCAGAAGTCACACCATGTCCGTGTTTTGGACCTTCACAAGCGGCAGTTTCAGTGGAATCCACCAGTAAACTGATAACTTTTGAAGGGCAAATCCAGTGACCCCTGCAGGTGTGTGTTTGAAGTCTGGTTAGACATAGATGGTTTCCACTGGTTATTGGTTTTATCATCCACCAGGGAAACCCAACTCGAATCTCTATTTTTCACCAAAAGAAAACCTCTTGTTCACCTACCACGACAACCAGGGGGCCCAGACAGCTTCAAGTCCTTTCTTGGAAGAAAAGCAGCCAAGAAAGTTCTTTTTCCGAATCTTCGTGCGCAGGGGGTCCCCTGAATTTTCAAGTTGTTTTTCTTGTGAAGCATCAAACTTTTTTGGCCCTAAACTTGTGACACATAAAACCTTTTTGGCCCCAAAGCTTGATCGAATGCAGAAACCGTGAGGAGCCCTAAAGCTTTTCCTTGAGTACACAAACCGAGAGGCGCCCCAGGCTTCCTCGCCGGAGACGGCGGAAACGGCCTCTCTCTCGCCAGGTCTCTGTGAGCTACGCATGGAGGAGGGCTTTCAAGAGGATCGAAGCGTCGGGGAGGGGGGGGGAGGGTCCTGTGGAGGATCCTCTGCGTGCAACGCCCTGAAACCGAGCCCCCCAAAAAACTTGTAGGAAAAGTGTTTGGGGGGGGGTTTAGCCCCAAAGGTGTCCTTCTTAGGTGAGTTTGGTTGAAAATAGATGGCACTGGTTTAGATGGGTTTGATTCCATTTACCAGGGAAACCCATCTATTTTTTCAAAAAGGACACCTATGGCAACGCCCTGAAACCGAGCCCCCCAAACACTTCTAGGAAAAAATATGTTGTTTTTGTTGGGGGTGGGTGACTCCAGAGGTTCCATGTTTGTGGACGGGGTACCCCACACTTTGGGTATTGTAATTTAGTTAAACCCAAGCTAAAACAAAGCCACTCATTTTGGGGAAATCCCGAGTGAAGCTTAGGGAGTTCAGATATCGCCCTTTAGACCTCATTGGTTTGGGTCCAGCTTGATTATGACGGGGATTAGTTCGGTCGAGAGTCTACATGTTGATTGCTTTTCTGTATTATTTTCAGCGGGTTGCTGGGGTTTGGGTGGTCTTGCGCCAAACGTATGGACCCTGTCGCCTTACATGATCAACAGTCAATATTTGTTTCTAGATTTTGGTTTGTCACCTAAATCCTAACTCAGTCCACACAATGTCTTTCTTTTTCGTATTTAACATATCGTCGTATGTTTGTCCGCTTGGAAAGCGGAGGGTTTTGGGTAAGCCCCCTGCAAGAGGGTATCCTTTTGGGCCAGCCATTGTGCAACATGGAATTAGACACGGGGCCGTTTTTGAAGGTGAATGGTGGAAGTTGTTTGTTTCATACCAGGGGCTCATGTATGGGTTACATGTTTGACAGGAACGAAACCAACAAAAATGTCAAACTCGTGAACCGGAGGAACTCCACGAATATGTTTTCACAATATACATAATATATATATATATATACACAAAATACATATATACAAAAGACTTTGATGAACATATGGATGATATTTCATTTTGTTGTGTGTACTCCCTATTTCCTCTCAATCAGTGACCATGTATGGATTCGTAAATTTGTCCATAGGTTGTACTAGTTTACACTATATACCTTTGCTGTCTGATACAGGGGGTTCATCCTAGCTCCTCATATGTGCCATGGTCAACGGACCCCTTTACCACGGGTTGGGTAGGAATGGTCATGCTCCCCGAACAGGGAATTTTGACAATCATGATAGGGGTTCCTTTGGGAGCCATGACCGCGGTCCTGCGGGTTATACTCGTGTGGCAGGGATCTCCTTTAACATTTATTTTTGAGGGTAAGCTAAGAACGCAACAGAATCTGAATATACTTTGTTTGGTGTACCGAGCCCAATAGTGATGGTGTTCTCATTGGTTTCCCCTCTTCCATGCCAACGAGACCCTCAAACAAATTAACACACCCGTTTTTTTGGGCTGCATTCCATGAAAGCCGTCCGTAGGAGTCGAACGGGTGGAAGCTGAGCATTTCGGAGAACGAGGGCCGGGGCAGCATCCAAAGCGCAAGTGGTGGTACAGCCAGGCGCCGATAGAAGAGGAAGTGTTGCGTGAGCATTTCCGCCCCCTTAGTTGGTGGCTTGGATTGGTTTGGGGGGTTGACCCCCTGGTTTTTGTTCAGGGGGAGAACGGTTTGGTGCTTGGTTTGTGTAATCTTTGTGGTACTATTTTAAAGATTCCGCAGGGGTGGGCCCACAAAAACCACTTTCTAGACTAACAAGTACGCGACATTGAAAAAAAAGAGGCAAGAACACACACATACACATACCAGCACCTGGGTCCCAAGGCCTGGCTGTCGGACACTTGGGGTTCCGAACATGTACACCGGGCAGTTGTTTGGGACCCGGCATGTGTATGGGAGCCTTCGATCGGTGATCCGGGCCCTCCAAGCGGGCGAAATGGTACGCCCTTGCCATGAACGGCAACAACCCTCTCTATCCGGATATATGTGAGGAGCACGGTATTTTTGTGTTTAACATGTGTAAATCAGAACCTTAGGTGTGTGTGTGTGTTTCTAAAACAGAAACAATGTGTCTGTGTGGAGTATGACTTCGGAGTTCGAACAGTGTGATATGAGTCCACATCGGGCCAAACCAGGCGATGCGATTTAAGGATGCAAGGCACCAGCAGCAGGGTCCCTACAATGCATTTAAGCCAGGCAAAGTGTCCGGAAGGATACCTTGTACATCAGGTGGTTAGATGTATCCTTCCGGAAGCTTCTGACTGCGGTACTTGGAAAGCTTACCCCGGCCGGGTTGGCAAACGTTGGAGACTCTTTGTTGGCAGGTGGCTTCATTTTGGTTTGAACTTTTTCTGGCCAGTCCACTCGGGTCAAAAATTCAAGCAAGAAAGGGCGGCGCCCTTTTGTCAAATCTGAGCTGGCTAGGTGCTGGCGTCGCACAGACGGACCACCCGAGACCACCACAGAGGAGCCGTTCCTGCCAGCTGGCCTCGAATCGGTTGGTCTTTGCGCGTCGGGAAGGTGGACCCTTTGCTGGGGGCTCCGAAGCTAAAACTCGGCGGCTTTTGGACTTTGAGAGATTAGAGTTATGTCATGTCCCAAGAAAAAGCAACTTTTGCAAGGGATCAACAAACTAAGAACATCTAAGAACACATTGTGTTGGCGCATCCTGGGGCTGGGCCAAGCACCCGGAACCTGGATTGGACATGTCAATGTGGGTAGACCGATGCGTGTTATGCAGCCCCTCGAACATGGACTGCCATTTGCTGGATCTTTTTATTTTGCCCTGGCTTTTAAGGGAGTCGATTTCACTGGACAGATTTTCTCATTTTCTGGAACCTAAACAAATCATTTTTATCTAGCTATATACCCCATCTTATCCTATCTTATCGTGTATCCTGCCTTATCCTATCTTATGCTATCCTATCCTACTGTATATCTATGTGCTTTGGGGTACGCCCTCGTCTTTGAGGTGGGGTTGTGGATTCCCTTGATTTCATCCGACATGGTGGAGATTCGGGTTTGGTGGGCAATTTTCAAAGTGCGAACTGGGCATGGCTCGTTTTAGAATCGCAGAGAACGTCTCACCGCCTATAGCCAGACTTACTGTTGCTTTGCTCTTTGGTCTTCTATGATGGTCCCTTTTTGAGAGAAACCAACAGCAACGTACGTATTTGAAGGCTGCAGGCATGCTCAAGCGCCATGTGTTCGCGGGGTTGCTCCAGGACTCCCTGAATGAAGCGCAGGGACAGTGAAGCTTCCAGTCAACCCACTAAAAGTTAAACTTTTAGCGGGGGATCTGAGGGTAGCCCAGGTTTTGTTTGCATGTGTCTGGTACTGTTCCAAGGAGGGTCTTGGAAAAGGGCACTGTGCACTTCACTTGATACATGGACCAAGGCAATGGGTTAGTTACTCGGACAGTATGAGACCTAACCGCACCACCAAAGTTGGGTGGGTTCACATGCCCCCCAGGCATGACCGGGACCGCGCAAGCCGTCCCTTGGTGAACCTCAAACGTGCGGTTGATACATGGACCCACCAGCAATGAGACTGGCTCCCCGAGTTGCTGGACTTGAGTCACTTTTTGGGTTTGGACCAGTTGAGTGGATAAAACAGAATTACTGGCTGGCTCCCAGCCATCCGGTTCCTTAGCTTTAGCCTTTTAGTTGGTTTAGTGGGGATTTTCAGTTTGACCCACTAAAAAGTTAAGCTTTTAGCGGGGGATCTGAGGGCAGCCCAGGAAAGTTTCGTTACTTGTTTTGGCCAAGCCACTCGGGCGGAGGAGAGGGAAGCTGAACGGCAGGCTCCAAAGGAAAAGAGTATCACGTATCACTGTGGTCTGGGTGCGAAGGATAGGCGTTTCCAATAGATATTTGTAAACGCAACAGGAGCCATCTCTCTCTCTCTCTCTCGCTCTATTGATACATATTTTGTATATACACATGCACATACCCACACAGACAAATACATATATATATATATCATGTGCTACCCCCTTTTGGCCCACCTGCCATGGGTTTTTCCACGTCACAACCCCAAGCTGTTGGGTCCATCCGTGACATCCCACGAGCTCAGGCCAGACCTCACGAAGCTGCTGCCCGGCCTGCCGAGCCTCCGGGACCTCCTGCGCTGAGCGCGCGCGTGCGCGGGAGAGCGGGAAATTGGCGTCCGAAACCCCGAAACCAAAACGAGGCGCTTCCGGAGCTGTGGTATAAACTTGTGGGGAGATACGGGGCGTAGGTGGATCTATCCACATTTCATAAATGTATTATTTTTGTATATAATATAAGCCTTAAAACCTTGGGACTGACTCGAAGGTCAAAGGGGGTTTTGGGTGCCCGTCTGAATATTTTGAGGCTCTTTGCCTCTGAAAAGAGATGGCCATCCTGCCGATGCCATGATGAGAATCGATTGGAGTGAGTTTCGAGGTCGGAAGTTATTCACTTGAGTCACTTGGTCAATATGGTAATTGGAGGGTAAGGGACACTCCCAGCCGCAAATGCGGAGACCCGCCTGTTCAGTTCTTGAAAAAATGGTTCTGGGCACATGTGACCAGGTTTGATGACTCACTTGATTTGGTTTTGCAGTACTCCCCAATTCTACTGACCCGCAGTTAGTTTCCGGTTCCGCGGAAACTCCGGCCGTTGGATTCGGACTCGAATTCGCAAGCGGTCGAAAAGCGGCGGTGGGAAGTTCCTTGGGTGCCGCTGGGCGTGAAGGATACCTGGCGGTTCAGCCAGCCATCCGGTTCCGTAGTTGGTTCTGTCCTTTTCTTTAGGTGTTCCGGTGTCTTTCGTTGTTTTTTAGGTGTTTCGTTTTTCCTTTTTTCTTTTTTTTAATAGTTGGTTTAGTGGCAGTTTCCGTTGAACCCACAAGTTAGTCACTTTTAGCAGCAGATCAGTTTGGACGGGTAGAGAACTTGCCTAGGGTAAGCTTGTTCCGGAGGACAAACCAAATGTGCTGCAAAAACTGGGACTCACACATGTTGGACCATGGCAAAAGTTCAACTTTTCGCATTTCTGTGCAATGAACTAAACATTGGCAACGTGGGTTGAACACTTACACTGTCTGTCACGTTTGCCAGTACCAGCTCTGAAGTACAGGCTTTTTGGACAGCCTGTGCTTCACTGTGTGTACATGACTGTACATGTGTGTGTGTGTGTGTGGTGTGTGTGTGTACGTGTTTGTAAAGGTTGACCTTTGATGTTGAGGTCCATTGAACAGCGCACGTTGAACGGCTTCTAATAATCGGGTTCCGATCGCTTGCGCTAACGGACAATCATGTGGTTTTTGCATCTTTGCAGTGGAAAATTGTTTGCTTCACAAAATGGGGGGTCCATTTCCTCAAATATCGACCGACCACGTCGATTCACCATCCGGAAGCCCAAAGCTCGCAGCCAACGAGCCTCTGGGTCGCGGTCGTTGGCTGCTTTCAAGAGCGTCAGCTTCGCCTGGAGGCGTGGGGTTTCGAAACCTGCGGGGGGTCGAAACGGAGCGACCTCACACGATGCGAGAGGTGTTTGGGGTGGTATGGGTGGTCCCGGTCCATTTTGGGGGGTCCAACCCCCCCCCAAAAAAAATCACGGCCATTCTGGGGACCCAGACTTAAAGACGAGCCGCAAAAACCACCCAGACTTCACCTTTTCGCCTCTTTGAAAACCGGGGATTCTTCGGTTGTCCTAACCAGCAAGTTGGACAACTTTTTGGAGTGGTGTCCAAGCCCAAAGGTTCGTAGTGAGGGAAACATCGCCATGACCCACATCTGGTGGTTTGACCGCTGAAACTTGCTGGTCTATGATTCATTTGGAAGGGACGAGACTTGGGGATGCCAGGAAAAGCACACAAACACCTGCGGACAAGCCCGAAATGTCCCACGCCCCCGTGGAAAAACAGTGGCGCAGGCGACTTTCCAGCACAGTTTCCAGGTTCGTCTCCAAATTGGCGCCCAACACCCCTTTAAGGCCGGTTTAGTACGGGGTGTTGCTACCTAGTTCAATTTTTGTTGGTCCTTACTAATACCACACAAGTCACATTTGTTTATTCCGTTTGAGGATTTTCAGTCTGGTCCAGTTCATGGGAATGTACAGCATTTCTCTTGTTCCCCACTTGACCGAAGTACGGCTTTTTCGTGGCCTGGTATCCACTGACGGGTTACAGCAAAGACTTGTTGGTGCGATAGGCAGGGAATGAGAAATGGAATGATCGCGAAACAAGCCATCCAACTGGTGGTTTCCAAGGGAACCAAAGCCCAGGTTCATTCCATGTCTGCTGCCCTACCCATCACACCAGCAAGAACAAGTATGTTGGAATTTTACACACCACAAACCATGACGAATTTGCTATCCAAAAAAGCTGTGTCCTGATGGATTTTGTGGAGCCTCAAAATATGTCCTTTTGACACCCCTAACGCATCTCGGGGTGTGGTACGGGGACCGGGCCCCGGGTTCTGCAAAGCGCCGAGCGGAGCCTTAGGGTGGCTGCCATTGGCTTAAAATAAAGCCTCTTCTCTAGGGGTAACTTCCATTTCCATTCTTTCCAGGGAGTGTTTCTTTCTAGAAAACCACCAAAGACCCTGGGGGAAAACAACTCCGGTTTTTGAAAAGAACAATCCCGGATCGCCAGTTGCGAATCGCTTTTTCCCATCCGCTTCACCGCAAAACGCGATCGCAACAGCGACTGAACAACAGCGATCGCAACTCGGCCATCTAGGATGCCTCAGAAGAACGGAAGAGGACTCCAGCGCCCCGAAGTCTTCGGCCTTCGGCGCGTTTCGAACTCCCCGCGCGACTCGACCCGGAGGACTCGGAGGATGTCCGCGTGCCAGAGCGTTGCCTCCCCGGTGGTGCGGCGCGACCGCTCCGAGGACGGGGGGGCGAAAAAACAAATAATTCGCCCGAGCGCTGGCGAGGGAAAGCCGCGGGTTCCTGGCCCCCAGTAAACTTGGTGGTTCCCAGCCATCCGGTTCCTGAGCTTCTTAGCCTTTTGGTGTTTAGCGGTTGGATTTCCATTTAAGCCACTGAAAGTTGAGCTTTTAGCGGGGGATCTGAGGACAGCCCTGTAAACGAAAGGCAAGGACCCAATGTGGATGATGAGAATCCTTGGGAAAACAAAGGTGGATTTATATCAGCCCCCATTGTCTTAATGGTGTTTTGAACCCCAGGGTAAAGGAGGTTCATTTTTCCCAGTTTCTGAAGACCACACCAAAAACGTCGCCTTTTCAAGGATAGGGTTGTCGTTATCTATGTTTTAACTTGAAGCACCAAACACGTCGAGCCACAGAAACACGCCCTCTTAACAATGGGCTTCCCCGCAAGGAAGGGCATCTTCCAACGCTCTCCTTTCAGCTTCCATGATTGAAGGGTAGAGCAACCAGACCCCTGGCCGCCAGACAAATGGAAACCATAAGGGTTGGGGAAAGTTGTTTAACCAAACCCACAGAAAGTGGCGATCCCAATGCAATTTTCCCGGAACCTGGGGCTCTTTGGAAGGCAAAAAGGAACGCTTGTTGTTTCACGCTTGAAAACTGGTTATGATTATGAACACGCTTCTAACAGTTTCTGGGGGTTCTCACAAAAGATTAAAAAAGAAGCACAGAACAGAAAAACAAAAGAGAAAACAAAAACACCCGGAGAAAAACACAACTGCTTGAAACACACAACCAGCCAAAACCAAGTGGTTGGTGGGCACGAAGCCCCGCATTCTGCCCCAAAAAACAGACCCCATGTTTCAACAAACACCTTGGCACGAGCCAACTGGTTTCTTGGGATGTCTGAGGCTGGGGCAATGTTCACGGCCCTAAGAGAACCAAGAGGAAGTTACAAGGCGGCGGATGAAAAGGCGCCCGCCTCTCAGTCCCCTTTAAAGCCACAAATGGGTGTGGCTCAAAATTAAACAGGAGAGGTTACGCAGGTTTTGGTCCATGTTTCCACTTACCAGGGTTCCATTTTGGTACCGGTTTTTTGAGCCACAGCCAAAAAGGTTCTTTGAGCATCATGCTGAAAGGGGCTTCGACGAAGCCCAACCCTCCGATGCCCGATGCAACGTCGGAACTTGCTCCCATCGCTCGGATCACAAGTAGAAGCTCCGGCATCGCAAAACTATCTTCCAGTTGGTTAAGAATAGTTTTGTATTTTCCTCTGCTGGTTTTAAAGGGAATCTATCACTACTGGACATTTTTATCATTTTTCCCAGGGGACTTCAGCAAATGAGGAGGCCACCCAAACCAGCGAGCAGACAAATATCAAGCACGGCCCCAACAGGAAGTCCCACAATTGCTCATGGTTGTTGGGACACATTTTACATGTTTGCTTATTGTGGTTTAGTGCTTGAAAGCCAAATCCACTTAGCTGCTAAAATCTATTTTTTGTTGCTTCCCTTCCAACGTGAACCAATCGCCTCCGCGCAGGCACGGAAGCGCACGTTGCGCTTTCATGCCCGGAGACCCAAAAAGTCGGCCGGTTGGGCTTGGTCCGCGCGGGTGGGGTTTTTTCTCCCTGGAAACCGGGCGCGCCAGGAAGTTGCCCCAAAAACCCGCCAGCTCAGCGGCCATTCATTTTGGCATTCCCGCGGCTTGTTGTTTGTTCAACCAGCCATCCGTGTTTTTTAGGGATTTGAGTTGTTTTTGGCACCATGAGCAGGGGTACTCGATCTAGCACGGACTAGTTGCTTCACCGTGTTTCTTTTCCAGCGGTTTCACTGGGCCGTGCGGTCTTTTAGGATGTTAGTTCTTTTCGGTTGAGTGGTAGTTTCCATTTAACCGTTTAGCAGGGATCAGTTTCGAGCGCCTCCGTTGAAACATCCAAACTGGGCAAATTAGAATGACGGTCACGTTCCCAGGGAGGTGTGCGGCATCACCCATGATGATTTTCATTCAGAAGCCTCTTAGCATCCCATATGTTCGGCCGGCGATGCTCCGTGTTTTTTTTGCCCGGATCACTAGGGGTATCAAGTCGATTTCCCGTGCGCCCCCTTCAAACCTGAAAAGAGCATCCTCTCAACATCCGCGCAAAGATGAGCATCCCCAGTTCAGAAGTCTCCGAACTGGGTGAAGGGCAACGTCATGTTCCAAATTGTTTTGTCTGTTGAGGATACGCCTGGGACACTCTTTGCTCCTTGTGGGAATCACCTGGTGAAAAAAAACATGTGCAGCGGTCTTGGTCTGGTTTCGAGAGGTGTGAGGTGTATGTTTGGCAGTGGATTGTGGATTTGTT